AGCGTTGGCGGGCGCTGGCTGCGGTGGTTTGCCCTGGGCGGCTGCTGCCGTTGTTTGCCGTGCAGGCACCCGGCTCCGGGAAGCTGATCTGAAGGGATCCAAGAGATCAGCATATATTCTTGGAAGCAGATTTCGGAAGTATCTATAAACCTTTCATCTTGCTGCTTAGCACTGACCTCCAAAGCGATGTGTGCCCATAAAAATCGACACTGCAGTGGTGACATCGATTACGCAAGCTGGAGCAAGAGACGTTCCCGTCCTGGTGGGTAGAGAAGAGCAGCTGGGGTCTCACAAGAAGTTGTCCTGGGAAAAGAGGGAGCGAGCCACCGTGTCCGAAGCAAAGCGATATAACCTGCAGTTGGTATGCCTGCCTTTCGATGGGTGCTGGGAGAGATGGGGAACTGTTTGGGGGGCAGGGGGTGCCTGCCTGCCCTGGGTGTAGCACAGGCAGCTCGCTCCTGCTGCACGAGGGGCTGAGGGGGTTGCGTTGGGGGGCCTGGGGTCTGGTTATCCCACCCCCTGCTAAAGCAGGATGGATCAGTGATAGGGGACTGTGGTGCTGGGGCAACCTGCATGTACTGAGCGTGCCTTTGCCGGTGCTCGGGGATGTTAATCTCTTCAGAGAGGACGGAGAGAAGGTTGGAAAAAGCAAGCATTTTCCCTTGTGGTTTGGAGAAGAATAATTTCCATTACAGCAGGAGTATTTGTGGGAGGCTTAGATGCTCTATGAGTGAACTAATATGTATTTTAAAAGAAGAGGGGTCCTGAGCTGGGGCAGCTTGTCTGGAGCCACAGATGCAACTGAGACAAGAACCAGGGCAGCCTGTCTACCCATCCCGCCTGGAGAGCTGACTTTCTGAGGTTTTTCCTCCCGAGATTTACCGTCCAGCGGTGCTATTTCAAGATACCCTTAACCAACCGGTCCTGTGACCCTGGCAGAGGGTCCACACAGCCTCGGTGCCAGGGTGGGTGCCACAATGCCGACACGGCACATGCCCAAAGAGCCGAGGGGAAGGGCTTTATCGTCAGCTGGCCTGAGACTTGCACACCGCACGCAGCAGCATCAGGTATTCCCCTGGCAGCTCCCCACTTTTACTGTAAGTAGATGATTCATTTGTCTGCTTTGGCAACAAACTTAGATCACCAAGGAAACACTCGCAAGCCGCCACAAAAGTTAGAGCACAAAATCAGGTCAAGAGAAATGATGAATGAATGAATATGTGCAGTACAGGCTCAAGCTCCCTGTTTGGTATCACAGATTTTCTGCAGAAATCTTTGCTTCTCCTGGAGCTTGTGGTCAAGGGGGTAATATTCAGCTATAACAAATGTTTTTGGAATATGTCTTATGATGTAATTGAGCATGTCACACAGTGCTTCCATGTTTTTTTCTAGGGATATGGGCACCTGGAATGTTTTCTGGGGTCACCAAAGAAAATGTGATACTTTAGCAATAAGAAAACAAGAGCAAAACACATATTTAGCCATCTCATTATATTCACGAGAAGACAAGGGCTAAACTTGCTAACATACTTGTTGTGTTGTGATATAAATCAGGTAATAATCATACAAAATGCATTAAATAATTCAGAGGCTTTGTTAGGATACCACAGTTTTGATGAAACTTTATACTTGCTTGCATATTCTACTCTGAAAGTCAAAGTAATTGTCTGGTGAAAAAAATTCTGCTGTTACTGCTGCTTCAATGACTCGGAAGGTTTTGGTAGATGTCAAGGTACTCACATGGCAACAACCTCCCCAATAAGCGGACGCAGCAGTGGCGAGGATGGCCCATGCACCAACAGCTGCAGCAAGGCAGGAGCACAC